GAATTTCCACCGAGGTCATGTGATATTACGCCGTGTGATTTCTTTTTGTGGCCTTACCTTAAAAACACTATTTTTGAACTGCCTATTCCTGATTTAAACCATCTGCAGGCTCGACTTATAGACAAGATTCGTGAAATTAACAATACCCCGAGCATCTTAGAAAATGTCTTTAATTCTTTGAGGAACAGGTGTGAAAAGTGCTTGGAACAAGGAGGGGGACACTTTCAGCAGCTGCTTTAATTTATTGTTATAACAAGGAGGGGGACACTTTCCGCAGCTCCTTTAATTGTTTGTTATTGTTATCACGATTATTCTTTAAAATAAAGTTATATAGTCATTAACGTTATTGAAACTGACAGCTGCTATACAGCTCGTTGAGAAATGAGGTTAAGTTGGTCGCTATAAGCTACTCCCTACTTCGACCACGTTTTTATTTGAACGCCCGTTATTTTTGTGGACTTTATATTAAGGTGGCGTTAAATGACAGGGGGTGAACGAAGCTCTATGTTAAACCATCGGTCATCCAACACTCGAGCGCCGAGAGGAAACGGCGAACTACATCTCTAATTGCAAGAACCGACTGTTGTTTAATTAATCAGAAACCATTCAGTTGAATTATGTGTACGATACAATTTGGAATGCAGATTTCGAATCACATCATCCTTTGATTGTTCGCTGGCGGTTCGTGTTTCAGCGTTTTCCAGGGAAATTATGCTGACGGTTATTATTTCGCAGACGCGCCTTTGCGACATTGTTTAATAACGGATTAATTAATTAGATTCGATGTTTGCTCTCTCATACTGCCGTCACGGTCGATCTATCAAAAGGAAAAACGGAAAAATCGTGCGCTTCGGGACTTATTTGAACGTAATTTTAGTATACCAATTTTTGTTTGCATTTCAATGGTTTTTCATTATTGATTGAACTTCACGCTTAATTTACTCATCACTGGTATGATTGAAATACAATTTGTTGCCTCAAATATCCTAATTAGCTTCGTGAATCACATTTGATGAAAAACCTGTAGCGAAAGTTTCAGCTTCAGATAAAAACTTTGATGTCATCTTTATCTGCATCTTTTAAATAAAGCAATGATGAAACTGTAATAACAAAGAAGAATATTCTAGACGACAGCTATTAATAGAAGAATTTTCACTGTTTCAATGAAGCTAGAATTTCATAAAAGCTTTTGTATATGGGTATATATTTTAAAGTAATGATGATAATGTAGTTAAGTATAAAAAGAAATTTCACCTTTTTAACGAAATTATAATTTCATAAAGAAAATACTTTGTCATTCAGATATTCATACATACATGAAGAAAGCAGCGTTTTGATGAAACTACAATTTCAGGAAAGAACCTCCTACCGTCTTTAGGTATAAATATTGAACAAAGTAATGATGAATCTAATTTATTGAGAAAAATGCTTGTCGACAACGAAGAAGCGGGGAACTTTCCTCTCTTTACAGTTTCATAAAATACATTGCTGTTTTTTGGATATGCGTACATATATTTTAAACATAATGATGATTCGTAATGTAGCCAAGAAAATTATGAAGGATGACTATGAGATGATAAAACAAGAAAGTTCCAACGCTTTAATGAAACTACAATTGAGAAGATATATCTTTTAAACGAACTAATGGAAAAATTCTAAGGTGGACAATAAAGAAACACGGGATAATAAAGAAAGGATAAACTTTTCTCGACTTTGATGGAACTATAGTTTCATAAAAAAAATACTTCGTTTGCTTTAGATATTTATTTGAAACAACGAATGATGAAAACGTAACCAAAAAATAAATGCTGGATGATGATGAAAATAAGTCTATTAATTTAACATATACAGGGTGTTCCTAAATAACATGTACAAAAGGGAGGAGGTAATTCTTTGGCTTATTTCATGACTAAAAATTCATATGAACATGGTCCGCCAACCTATTGAAATTTTAAGATTTTTTAGTTTTTCTGCATAGCTCCATCAGTTTTTGAAATATTTAGCTCAAATTTGGAATATAGGTTACGCTGTAGGGCTTACACCATTGGGCATGCCAAATGGTCGTGATATTCTACAGAGTGATATTTTTTCGAGGATCATGCCCCATTTTCTTCCCCTGAACTTTTGTGCGCGCGCCGCTGGTAGATTCTAAAATCAAAATTGAATTTTATGTTTTGTTGAGAAACTTTTTAGTCTCTTATGATTTTTCGTATATGCGACCGTTATCCAGAAAAAGAAATAAAAAACGATTTTGTGTAATTCCTTAGATGAAATTGAAATTCTTAAAATGGTCCAGTAGGTCCTGGATTTATTTGCATAATCACGCATTCGTAACATAGGTCTGCATATGTTTATAAATTAAAGGTTTAAGTTATAATCTGTAAGGTATAAAATTGTTTTAAATACTCATTATAATCTCATAACAATGCCAAATTTTACGAATTTTGAAATGGCTGAAATGCATTTCATGTATGACCTTGCGAATGAAAATGCAAGAGAAGCTAGTCGTCTGTACATGAACCACTATCCCAATAGAATGATACCTGATAAACGAATATTCTCAAATATTCATAGGCGTCACTTTCGACAATTAATTGTTGTAACATAGTTTTCTTGTTATGGTTATTATTTAGGTTTTTTGTATTGTAATAAATCATTGCTACAAAACCCGGATCATCCCAGCTTTTAACAGGTAGTGGCGAATAAACTGTCAACATTAATAAAAACAAGAGATTATCTAGATAAAGTCAGAGCCTGCTGGACCATTTTAAGAATTTCAATTTCAGCTAACGAGTTACACAAAATCGTTTTTTATTTTTTTCTCGATAACAGTCGCAGATACGAAAAAATCATAAGAGACCAAAAAGTTTCTTAACAAAACATAGAACTCAATTTTGATTTTAGAATCTAAAAGCGGCGCACCGCACAAAAGTTCAGTTGAAGAAAAGGGGGCATAACCTCCGAAAAAATATCACACTGTAGAATGTCACGACCATTTGGCATGCCCAATGATGTAACCCCTACAGCGTAACATATATTCCAAATTTGAGCTAAACATCTCAAAAACTGTCGGAGCTATGGAGAAAAAATTTAAAAAATCTTAAAATTTCAGCATGTTCTGAAATTCTTGTTCTTCAAAATGTTCTTCACCTATGTTCATATGAATTTTTAGTCATGAAATAAGCCAAAGAATTACCTCTAGACCAGGGTTGATAATTTTTGAAACCAAAAAAATTATAGTAGGATGAAACCCATTGGAAAAGAAAGAGAATATAACAGAAATGAAAGGAAAAATAATTTACGGGCGATCTGAGGTCGGGAAGGGGTAGGGGGTGAGTTTTTAAGGGTAAAAAACGGTTTCCCTTGATTTCCAGAAAAACTACAAGTCTTATGGAAAAAAGTTAAATGACAAAGTTGTAGGTAATAAAAAGATCTACAACTTTTGTATTTACACTTTTTTCACATAACCTCAAAATTTATGTGAAAAATTCAAATAACCAAGTTTTTGGTTTTTTATTTTTATCTTTTACAAAAAAATTTTTTTTTCACGAAATTTGGTGAAAACTTACCTATTTATGTCCCAAACACGCTGTAATTTTTTTGATTTGAAATATTTATTTTTTCACCTTATTTTTACTTAATATCGAAAAAGCACCCTAATTTTCAATCGAAAATTCTCACGTCAAAATATCTGCTTTTTTAAAAACGTCGGTGGGCTTTTTCTTCGTTGAAATCTCTACTTTCTGATGGTGTAAAAAAATATATACATTACTATGGTAAGTTTTCTCAGGAAATGCAAAGAAACGAAATAAGATTCTACAACTTTCTCAAAATATTGTAGATGTCTTATTAAATATTAACTTTATTAACTTATTTGGTTGTTAATTATAATAGTATATTTCGACTTGTAATTTTTTTGTTTATCAATGTAACATGGAATCTTACGTTTTTCGAGTAATTAAAGTGTAAATTTTAATAAATAGCTCAAAATTGTACATAATGATTAGAAAAAAAATTTCGGATTCTAGTTCGTTTCTTTGCATTTCCTGAGAAAACTTACCATAGTAATGTATATTTTTTTTACACCATCAGAAAGTAGAGATTTCAACGAAGAAAAAGCCCACCGACGTTTTTAAAAAAGCAGATATTTTGACGTGAGAATTTTCGATTGAAAATTAGGGTGCTTTTTCGATATTAAGTAAAAATAAGGTGAAAAAATAAATATTTCAAATCAAAAAAATTACAGCGTGTTTGGGACATAAATAGGTAAGTTTTCACCAAATTTCGTGAAAAAAAAATTTTTTTTTAAAAGATAAAAATAAAAAACCAAAAACTTGGTTATTTGAATTTTTCACATAAATTTTGAGGTTATGTGAAAAAAGTGTAAATACAAAAGTTGTAGATCTTTTTATTACCTACAACTTTGCCATTTAACTTTTTTCCATAAGACTTGTAGTTTTTCCGGAAATCAAGGGAAACCGTTTTTTACCCTTAAAAACTCACCCCCTTCCCCTTCCCGACCTCAGATCGCCCGTAAATTATTTTTCTTTTCATTTCTGTTATATTCTCTTCCTTTTCCAATGGGTTTCATCCTACTATAATTTTTTTTCACTTTTTACCATTTTTGAAGGCTTAAGCACTGGTCTACTCCTCGTTTATATACGTGATATTTAGGAACACCCTGTATATTAGTTATATTTAACCAGAAACAAAATACAAAATCCATGCATTAAATTTTGTTGGTTTCATATTTTTATTTAATCTATACTCAACGTACCAGGCCTTAGTTGTTTGAACAATTTGCGGTCTGGTCGTCACATTCTGGATTTAGAACTCTTGACTTGTCGAAAGACATCGCTTCAGGAAAAGAAAACACCTAAGAACCGTATTCGTCTTTTTTTAACAAAGTTCTTTCTTTTTTGCAGGCAGTATATGTAACGGTCAGTGCTGCGACGACAAGACCGAGGCGCTCCTGAGAAAGCAGGGCCAGCGAGATTTCGCGGCCCTCCTGCGACACAACTCGAGGTCGCTACAGGGACTGCTCAACTCAACTGCAGCGACATTACAAAGTGAGTATTTCGTTTTTTCTTCATATAAATTCGATTCGGTCACCAATTATACGCGGCTTTTTTTAACCGTATCGGCAACTTGAACATTCCTCAGCGTCAATTAATTTGATATACAGGTGAGATAGTCCGGCTGCGAATTATTAAGTACGTCTTCTCGATACGAAGGCGTTTGTTTATGTTTGTTTGACTGAACTTTGGCAGCCGCGCAGGCTTAAATAATCGCTGCTTGGATCAGATTAATATGGAAAATTGCTTTGTTCGTTATAATCTTTTTGCCCAAAGCCGAACGACACAAAGGCAGAAGGCGATTATTTCTGTAAAACCATTGTTGCCTTGTCAAATATGGAATTAATTAACACAAATAAAACAGGGTACGCATAAAGTCTTTTGCTAGCGATTTTATTAATTACAATAGTAAGAATCATAATGTTTCACTAAGTAGTTATACAGGGTGTTAGAAATTTGACTGCCCTAATTTTAACAGACGATAGAATACATTAAAATAAACAAAAAACCTTATATGACATGGGTCCTCAATCATTTCCTAGAAAAAACTTGGCAAATTCTCCTTGTGTACAAAAGTTCGATTAATTAAGGAATATTGACATAACTGCGTGCATAGAATACCATAAAATGCAATGTTTATCACTTTTTTATGCTTAATTTTTAAAAATAGTTAGCTTTGTAATAATTTAAAAATTCGATAAAATTCATATCGAGCAATGTGACAACGGCGCGGCGGTTAACACGAGATACTAAGCAGTCCAGCAACCAGAAATACGCAATTTAAAATTCATTTGGTATCTGGAATTCAACCGTGTCGGAGTGTTTTTTGCATACCACTATTTCCTTGCTTTTTTAAAATGTTTACCGTACGTGATAATTTTCCAGCGACTGCACAAAAATTGGATTCAAAGGTGTCATGTGCGCATCGAAAATGGTGGTGGACATTTTGAGCATATGTTGTAGTTTGTTTTGTACTTGTGCGTTTAAAAATGACTACATTTTGCTTTTTTTTGGAATATTTAAATACTAAATTTCCCGACAGGTCCAAAGCCATCTTGCTCTGAGGACTAAAATTCTTTAGACTTATTTCTGACGACATTTAAAAGAAAATAAACTTAGGTATATGACAGAAGTCAGTTATTTTGTAGAACTATCACTTTGAATTGAAGCTATAGGTATAAACATTATTGGAGAAAGAACGTTTTTACAAATATGCGTTGGTGTTTAATTCGACGAGCTGGCTTACGTGTTGACGAAAGAATTGGCAATGCCGAATGTTTTCGATTTTTCTATTAAACAAGATCAGTACTTATTTATTTATTTTTTGTTTTTTTGTCTCGTGCTGTTTAATATAACAAAATATCTAATCCTTACAATATAATTTCAAAATTTATCAACACCCTGTATTAATTTGTGTGAATTTAATTTCTTAAAGTCAGAAAATTGCAAGTATAAAATTTTTCTTTCCTAACCAATTTTATTTTTCTCAAAATTACGAATTCAGGTTTTTTCAGAGAGTAGTAGTAGAAACATAATTTATCGCGATAAACTGAATACAGAAATAGTATTTAGTGGGCAAAGAAAGCTCTTATATCTAGGGCTGTCAGAACTGAGCCGCGGGACATAGGCGTACGCATTATTTATTAAAAAGCAACAAATTGCAATACACCACCACCAATAAATACCAACGGATAGGAATTAATTGCGCAACATCCGCACGATAAAAAAAGCAACAGTATACTAACGTGACGTGAACGTGGAAAGCATTCTGAGGCAGCGGCTCACGCATTAACCTGCTTGGTACGCCACTGAATTGCGGTTCTCTCTGACAGCCACTCTACTAATTGTAAGACGCATTATTGGGTGTCCAATTTAAGACGGATTCTTTAATAGGTCTAGGGAAACAGTAACACAAAAAAGGGTTTAAAATATTTTCGCATTTTAAAATTATTTTCAATTATACTGTGTCTTATTTTTCAAATGGAATGTACGTATTTATAGTTTTAATTTCTCATTGAATATGCCATACTATTGGGTCTAAAACGTACCTTTTCTGTATATTTAACCTTTAAAAAAAATTCCTTTACAACATCCTCGAAATTATCAAATATCTCCTGAAATTAACATGATAATCAGATGCCATTCATTCAAGCATTAAAAACCTATCTTGTTACTTACTGATACATTACAAATAGAGAAATAGCAATTACTATTGACCTTTCAAAGCTTTTAATAGCGCATATTTCAGTTCATAACCGTACCACTAATAAAATAATTACTAAAAGAAAAGCGTACATAACTATTAGAAACGCTACTACATGGATCTACAATAATAATCAACAGAATTTACCATTCTACTGAAGTCATAACCGAATGTTTCGTAAAATTTTCATCGACACCCTTTTCGGATTTTGCATAAATTGTATTGTAGAAGGCGAAGAATAAAATTTACTTGTTATAATAAAGCCCACAAAGAACAATTATATTTTGTTAGATCAGACTAGATCCCATTAAGGATCTTATTTGCTATTTTTGGTGCAACTTTTATTCGAAACAATTTTTTTTGTGTTACTGATATTACTAGAGCTATAAAATAATTAACTTTGAATGGGATACTTTGTATTATAAAAACGAATGGCCTGCCAAATAAAAAATAAACAAATAGAAATGAAAAATGTCCTGTTTCTTTTATAAGAATCAAGATGTTTGTACATATATCGAGGCAGTATTTTGTAGACTGGAAAACCAAGCCCGAAACTTCTTAAATACTTATTTCTGTTATAAAACTTTCGAAAAACTCCAAAAATGTTAAAATTGGCTCACCCTGTATAAATTTCAAAAAAATTATATCCAATTTAGACAATCAAGCAATATTGCAAGTCATATAAAATTTGCATAAAAATTATTTAATTTAAGTTTCAAACAATATCGTAATGTATGTAAGTATTTATAAATAAGCTTTTTAGACACACCGCCACTAACGTCAGTGACAGTTTCCACTTAATTTTTCTCATAAACTATTTTAATTATTTCTGTTTTCTAAGCAGAAGCGACGAACGGACGTCATTTTCATTTGCAGAAACCATCCAGACGCATGTAAATAGATTACGTACGCCATAAAAGCGGATACAATGCACACACAAGCCTTCCCACATTGCGTTTCTCAGTTTAGACCGTGCCGGGAGAGGTATAGCGATGCAATAAAGAAAAAAAAAAAACTTCATGAAGATGTGCGTGACATCGCGTAAATAAATGTTTTACAACAGCAGCGGCAGTGGATACTCGATTGGCGATGAGCGCTTGGCGTGTGGAGCAACTACATTCATTTGTTGGGTAACTGCCGCCTGAGATATTCCCGTGCAATTTCCCGGGCACCAATTCGGATCGCCAGATAAAAACTTATGAAAAGCTACGGTCATGGGGGACAAGAAGAAATTGAGGGTCGAGAAAGGCGAGGTCGTACGACCAGAGAAAAACCGTTAAGAAAATGTTGGGATCAGAATTCGTTTTTTCTTCTCGGATAGTTTTATTTTATGTAGTTTGTTTAGTCAGTAGTTTTGGAATGTACAGGGTGTTTTCTATGTCAGAAATATAAGTAACTGACAGCTAATGGTACTATAGAAAAAACGAAGGGAAATTTAGATGTAAATATACATTTCTCTTGAAGCGTAGGATTGAATTATGTTAGTCCATGGTATGGATGGTTGAATGGTCCAGAATGCGTTTAGATTTACCGGAGTTCATTTATAAAACGTAAACAAATGCCGCATCGTGTGGATGATGCATGTCGATACATCTGAAAGCATATTTTCACTCCCCAAAGCTATACAAACTGCAGACATATGGATATTCAACTTGTGACAGTTCGTTCAGAGGACGGTAAAAATATTTACACTTCAAGCCAGTTACACCTTGTCTCTATATTCGTAAGAAATAGCATCTGTACAAAAGCGGTTGATGTGAACAATTGATAAATGTACCTATGTACATAGTTTAGGATTATTTGTGGAGATATTATTCGTGTGCTCAATTTGGCCAAATATATATGACACATTTTTGTTTGACGAATGTTTGGCGAGTGACGACGTCGTCACCTGGAGCCGGTTTTATGCTAATGATCCTCAGATGTATACTTGTTCCTTAAACAAATTTTACCATACTTTGGCACCGTTATTTTATTGTTTTCTAAGAACATTTTGAAAACAACGGTTACCTAATCTTTTAGTTATATCTCCCGTCAGCAATATTTCCTGTACATTGTATTCTATTATTTTCCTATAATCTTCAATGAGGTAGGTACCAACATAAGCTCGTAAAAATTTGACGAGGTGTGGAAAATTTGCGCGTCCTAAACAGTTTCGTAAACATAAACAGGCAATAAAATGTGTTGCACAAATGGCAGAATTATTACCGATTTAACAGCAACAGATGTCGCAGAATGATTTTTGTTTTGTTTATTTATGGTTACCAAATTTAGGAATTCTGTTGTTGTTTTTAAAAGTAGTTATAAGTAAAAAAAATTTTAAAGTGACAATTTTTTAACCAAATTTTTATGAAAATTTGAATTTTCCTTAAAAAATATAATAGTATATAAGTACTCATTTTTTCCCAAACTGTGACTAATACAATGAAACTGACGAAAAAATAAGTGCAATGCTAATAAATAGAATACTTATAGGCCAGGAAATATAGAGTTGGAAGCGACTTTTTGTTTCGGCAAGCTGAATTTATCACCATACATATATGCTAAATATTATGTACAATAACATATTAGTTTCCACAGTCATAAAAATGGGGGGAAGATTGTTTACATGGTGGTTAATTGTATAATTTTTACGAAAATTTACGTTTTTCGCTTATAATATTTTCCCGTTCATTTCCACGAGAAAACAGTAAAGTACTTTTTTTTCGTCTTCAGAAGACCTACAAAACTAACCCTCGAACGTCAAAAAAATATTGATTAGATCAGAAGTTATAAACAGAAATTTATTTAT